GCCGCGGGCTCGGCCCCGGGCGGCACCAGAGCGGACCGGGCAGCAGTGGGCGCTCGCGGTCCTCCTCCGCCCGGCGCGGCGCGCTCCCTCGGGGCCCGGCCTCCCGCGTCCCCGCCTCCCGCCCCTCCTCCGGCTCCTCCCCTCCGCGGGACGCGTCGCGGAGCCTCCCGCCTGCAAAGTCCCTGGCGCGCGGCGGCCACGCACCGCCGCCACTGCCGCGTCTCCGGTCGCCCGCGCCCCTTCGCTCCCGCGCGTCCCCGGACGTCCCGAAGCTCACTCCGCCGGCCGTCGGTGCTCGGCGGCGCTGCCCATGGCCCAGCCCGAGAGCCGACTTCGGACGCCGGAGCCGCGGGACCGCGGCGCAGCGCAGGTGAGTGCGGAGCGCGCGGGGCGGGGGCCGCCAGGCTCGGGAGGGGCAGGACGCGGGGTGCTCGAGGCGCCCGGACTCCGGGCAGGCGCCCAGCCCAAGGTGAGTGGGAGCCGGAGCAAGCAGCGTGGATGCAGGGGGACAGGGAAGGAGAGACCCGGGGTGTCCCCGTCCTCCTCGCCTCCCGCCTCGGCCCCTCAGTTCCGCGAGTCCCGGGAGACTGGTTTTTGTGTTTCGGTTCGTTCTTTGGCCGGCAGGTATCGGGGTTCCAGACTCTTAGCGGACTGGATTTTTTTCCCTCTGGCGGAGTCGGAGGTTCGCTCCTGCCTGCCGCGTCTCCCTGTGGCCGTGCCGGGCAGCGGGGGCGCAGCGCGCAGCGGAGCTGGGGTACCACTTGGGCTGGGAACCGGGGCGGGAATACAGTCAGCAGAAAGTCGGCGGGTCGAGGGAGCGTACGGGCCGGGGTAACCTTGGTGACTTGCCTCGGCATTTGGTTGGAGTGGAGAAGAGCTGGGGGCATCTCCCGAGGGACGGGGGTGCCCGGGATGAGAGAGACTGAAGCGACAGGCCAAACAGTAAGTAGTCCCTTTCCCCAAACGCCAAGTGTACACGGTCCTGATTTTTCCTGTTACTTTTTACTTTTTTTAAAATTTCTGCCTCTGTTTCTATTTCGAGCACCACGGGGGGCGGCAGATGTTGAGGGTGAGGGGCGGCGGGACGCCAACCCGCGGTGGCAGCCCGTAACCCCCAGCTCAGAACAAGGGGCACCCTCCAGGAGCCTGACGTCTTCAGGTGCGCTTTCTGAACCGGGAGGCCGACCGCACGCTGCCGCTGCTCCCGCTTCCGGACCCACCTGCCCCTGGAGCCGGAGCGCCGGCTTCGAGAGCCCTGGATGGGATGGAGGAGCGGCGGGCTCCGGAGCCGGGAAGCAGGGCGCGTTGGGTGGGGTGTGCTCCGCTCCTCGGAGGTCGCGGCGCTGCGCGTCTCACATCTTCCCGACTCCACCCGGCGGGCATCCGCGCTTCCTCGCACACCCAGACCCCTCTCTCGGGAGAAGGGTTGCATCCCTCCCCCTCGGCACCCCACTTTGCTGGACCAGTCGTATCCTTGCCTTCCCTTGCGCGAGTCTCGCTCCTCCCCCAGCGTTATCCGCCGGCTATTTTTATCCACTACTTGTACCAAGATGCTTTCGGGGGGGATTCTGAGAGGCGAGTCCAAATCCACTGCCTTCGCGCTGCGCTCCCAGAAGCGGTCCCTTGCTAGCAGGGAACAGCCGCAAGGAGCAGCCGAGGGAGCCAGCAGGAGCACAGCGCGCCCCATCCTCCTCTCGAAGCCAGGGGTCTGGAAACCTGGGTACTAACGGCTCGACTGCGCCGCCCGCCGCTCGCCGGGGGAGCCAGTCCCCCAGACGTGTCCCCAGCGCCCGGGCGCCGGTGCTCCGCTGGCTTCTGTGGCTGCAGCCCGTGCGCTCGCAGGATCTTTTTGGTCCCACTCGTGCGTTCTGGCTTTGCAAGCAAATCTCACCTTATTTTGGTGAAACGCAATTACCAACTTCCACTCAAGGGTTAACTCCAGGAATTCCATCTTTAAAAAAAAAAAAAGGAGGGGGAAATAGCCCAACTTCTGCCTCCCTGCGATTCTATAGCCCATCCGTTGGCGTTGGGGATTCTTATTTTGCTTTCTGCTTTCTCAGTAACAATTGGAGAAAGTGGCAATAAGCCTGACCTAGTCAAATTCCAGGAGGTAAACGCTTCAGCTGCAAATCCCCTCCTTACTCTTTGTATTTCCAGTGCTTAGAGGTTTTCTTCCCATAGGATCGCAGACATAACACATTGAAATGGACCGCTGTGTTACATAATGTTCCCTCCAGCTCTTGGCAGAGAAAGATCCTCTTAGAAAGGAGCCTTTTTCAGCGGCAGTGAGTCCCTCTAACTCTCTCAGCCAAGTTTGACATGGGTGACAACTTTGTGACTAAACACTCTTAAGTCGAAACAATTCGGACACCAACATCCGATGAGGATCCCTTAGTGAGACTTCTTGAGCCTTTTTCTGGACTGCAGATCCAGGCCGAAGCCGACTAGTGTACAATGCACTGTAGCTTTAAGATGGGAGATTTTTCTTTTTCTTTTTTTTTTTTGCTTGGGAAACTAGTAAGAAAGTGGTACCTTGAACTTGCAAATGGGATCAGGAAAAACCCAGGGCTCTTAGCTCTGTTGTTGGTGTGCCTAGTCTAAAGCCTCAAGTCCTATGGTCTAAAGTAGTGCTTTGAACAGTGCAGACGTCCCCGAACCTTTTGCTTGGACTCTATAATATAGTTGGGGCTTGGGCTTTTGTTGTCAAAAGAAGAACGTCTCTTATTGGAAAAGTCCCCAGAGCTCTTTGAAAGGAAAAGCAAAGTGGAAGCTTTCCTTGAATTAAAATTTGATGGTGACTAGAAAGGGGCTAGGAAGATGGACTGGCTGGTATCAGGCTGGCTGGTGTCAGGTTACTTGGTCCATGCCCACTGCCTTTTCCAGTCCATGGCTTCCACCCCCGCTGGCACATACCTGCCGTGATTACTGACTGAGTCACGTTCTTTCTATTGAGACTAGATTCTGGAGAGAGGGGCAATAGAATATATTGATGTCCTAATGGAACTGAGCCTGTACGCAGGGTCATGGCTCAGACACCAGGCTCCAGGGGCTGCCGGCAACCCAGCGTCCTTGCATGAGAGGGTCTTGGAGGAGTGAAACAGTTACAACTTTCTAGCTGCTGGGTGGGAAATGCAGTCACTTTCCAGCTATTGTGGAAAGCTGTAATTTTCTTGCTGCTGTTGGAAAAGACCCAGGTTGTTCCCCATAACCCTGGCATCAGTATCTTCCTTCAAACCCCGCTATAGCCCCAGTGCTTTCTAGCTTGGCCGCCCTTTTCCACTGGGGCAATGGCGAGAGCGCGAGCTGGATTTGGAGACAGCGTCTTTCCCCAGCGCCCTAGGCACAGGATTTTTCCCTCTGAGCCTCCTGTTCTTCCTCTGCAACATAGAGATTGAAAGATTATCATGAGAAAGTGAGAAAGTGTACGTGAAGAGCATGTTGGCAATTCTAAAACACTGATGAGAATGTTCAGGGCTACTTAATTTGCCTTTGCTGCAGATTTTACATTGTCTGTTTTAACGTGATTGTAGTCGGCGTGTGTCGCTTTGAATTACATAGACTGACCAGCCAAGGAGCAATGATCTCCTTGTGATCACTCCACCTGAGATCCACCAGCGTCAGGCCTCACTGCTTCTCCGAACCATCCATTTCTTGTTTTTAGAGTTAGTATTTTTTAGAGTTAAGTATTTTAGAGGTTTTTTTGTTTGGTTGTTTTTTTGTTTGTTTGTCTTTTGGGTTTTTTTTAGCTTAATGCATTTCACATGTCTTAAGACAATATCTTTTTGGAGGAAGGGCCCTGCTAATTGATTAATCAAAACAGAAGGAAAGTTGCAGATGATGTTATCAGTTGGGGAGAAGTGATACAGGATAGTTTCAGGAGACGACCTGGGTGTCCCTTGTCTAAGTCCGTCCTCAGCATTCAGCACTGGCTCTCTCTTGCATTTTTGTCGTTCAGAATTTGTTCCCAGGACATAACTAAATGCCTGGCACTTACTAGATGCCTATCATTATTTTTGAAATAATGAACGAAGGATTGAGTTGAATCTTCACAGCAGCCCTATGCTGTGCACAGGCAGATGGCATCCCTTCTATTTTAAAGGGTTGGAATCTGCAGATGAGAAAAGTTAAGTTTCTGAAGGCACAAAGGATTCCTGATTGGAGTTCAGGCCTGTCTGTCATCTCACTCGCTGGGCTGGATGGCCCCCTCCCACCCACCACCACTTAGAATCCCCCTAACCCACCTGAACTCTTATTTTGAAAGGCGCCCAGTAACCAAACAGCCTGCTTATTGGAGGGAAAGCCATCCTGTCACGGAAGGACTTGGGGGGGGGGGCTCCTTCTCTTTGTCCGTATCTCTGGGCGCTGAACTAGGGCTCAGTTGATGATCCCACCGGAGACCTGGCATCTTGAAGGACTGGCTAAAGGACACAAGGACAGTTGAGTGTTCATTTAGTGACATGCGTGGCAGCATGGGTGACCCAGGATGCCCCAGGGGTACACTTCCCATGGCATGATGCTGAGGCGTTCCCTGGTGCCTAGTTTCCCATCAACCCTTCTCATGTTCCAAGCCTGGCCTTTCAGCTTCTCACCAACTCCTAATGGTCGCCCGTTGCCTCCAGGTGAGTCCCCTTTCTCTCCCAGTTAGTCTCCACTGTCACCGGCAGCCTCCCATGATTCATCCCCAGGCCTGCCTCCCACATGAAGCATTCTCAGCTTCCTCTCCCCACAGGGGATTACGCTCATAGCATTTTTAGGCCGTTAGAATAATACTTACTGGGCTATAATTTGTCAATAGTTATGTGGAACCATGAGAGATCTAGAAAAATGAATCCATTATTCTTCCAAGGAATAGCCTGAACATAACAGAAATAGATCCCAGTGGGCATCTTTTCTTTACTTTTGTTTTTTTCTTTTTCCTCCAGGTTGCATGCTTTCTGGTGGCTTTCCAGCAGGGGTCGCAAACTCAGATGGGTTCAGTAGCCAGGCAAGTTACTAAGCTGGACCCAGGCCCTGTGCCTGGTGCAGGGAGCCCTGTAGCACCAGCCTCACGCAGGGGTTGCCCGTGGGACCTCAGGCCCAGTCTTGCCAGATCTGTTTGTTATTTTGTGTGGTTTTTTTTCTTCTTTTCTTTTTCAAGATAGGCTGTACGTTCACAATTTTATATAGAATCTACTGACTTTTAAGTGCCAGCAGCTAATTCAGTATTTTAAAGTCACACCACATGGGCCAAACAAAACCCTTCTGTAGGTAGGCCTCATATCTGCCCTGCAGGCCTCCAATTTATGATCTCTGGTATCTGGGGACAGAAAAGAAATTGGTTGCAATATGACACCCAATGAAATCAGTTACCCAGAGTATCGAGGCAGGGGCCTAGCTGGAGAGGAGTGGAGGCAGTGTTCCGATGAAAAAACCATCACATGTACGGAACGTTTGCTTGCGGTGTTCCTTTCCCTGGTCCTAGGGAGCGGTTACAACGTGCACATTTATTCCTTTAACACGTTTACTGAGTTCCAAATGATGTTCTGCTCGCTGGTGACATGGCACAGGGTACAGCAGATGGAAATCCTTCGCCCTGTGCTTGTCTTCTCGTGGAGGAGACAGATAAAAGCGACATAGATTAGTAAAATCCATCCTGGGTTAGATAGTGGTGTGCCAAGGATTGTAATCAATCAGAGGACGGCCCTGTGAAAGGCCAGTGTGCTGGGGTAAAAACCTTACCTAGCTAGCCAGGGGTCTTCATGTTCAGTCTGTGGTCCAACAGAACCAAAGTCAAGTTTTGCTACTCAACATAAAAGCTTTTTGGATGTTAGAGTTTGGACCCTTGATTATATCCTGGGTGTCGCTATTGTGGGTAAACCCCTGACAACAGACCATGCTCTTAATTTTAATGAAACTGATGGTTGAGCATAGTTACTGAGTGTCCACCATGTGCCAGGTACTAG